CCGTACGCGGCACCCAGGCTTCTAAGGGGGATGAAATTAAAACGGGAGGGTCGCGCATAGTATGGGAAATACCTCTAAAGTTTTTCAGCGCCTTCTAGCTTTTCTGGGTCTCGAGTTGAAAGTGGGTGACAAAAAGTGCGAACACACAGACACACACGCACACACATACACACAGACAGCCTCTTCCCAATATGCGTTTTTGCAATTTACATATATGCAAAAACGCATAAAAACGAGGCGTCGGCATGGGGAGAAAGAAGAGAGACTGGCGTTAAGCCGGTATGCTTTTTGAGTTTCTGTTTAAAGAAAAAATCATTGCAGTCAAGGGAAGAAGTATAATAAGATGGACAGAGCACATAACTCCTCTCACTGTTGACAACTGATGGGCACTGAGCACTAATAAATGGTGTCTGAGAAGAAGTAAACGACCACTCTGGCAGCCTGCAAAAAATAGTGCACATAGGTGGAAAAGATGGTGAATACTAAAGCGGTATGCAGCTCAGGATCGAGGAGCCTGGCATAACTAATTTTAGCGTGTGATTTCATCCAAGAAACATTACAAGTGTGGGATTCGCACACTGACTGGCTTGGTTCTGTTTATACTCTGTAAATTTTTATTTGTAGTTGACCGTATTTTAAGAATAACAAAAAACCCAGGTTGGAACGCAGCAGGCTTGCCGGTGCGATCATGCGTTTTGTGCTAAGCACGGGTCACTAATAGCAAGAATAATCCCTGCGTTACAGCCACACACTTGGGCTCATATTGGCCATGCTTCGGTTTCTTCCGGCATGCAGCAGAATGGGACATCGGCTGGGATAAGGGTGTTGCGTTATAGAGCCGCATGGACCTGCAGCTACGTGATTATCAGCTTTTTGCTTGAATATCGATCATTTTTCTAGCAAATGTTAGCTTTTTGAAAAAATGGAAATGCAAATTTTTTGAAAAAATGCAATCCAGTTCACTAAAAAGTGGAAGTATTGATCGAGCGGTCTTTTTTCAAAAAATCCAAGTATGCAAATGAACTAATGCTCATTTGCATATCTGGATGAGGGGGGTCGATTGCTGCAAAACGCACCCGATTCTGATTTTCTGGTAAAGTTGAGTATTTCTCACGCCTCTCTGAAGGAAATTCCACCTCCAGGCAGAATTAAGACCGCACTTGAATGCAGAATATCCCAGTGAATTTTCAGCCTCGCAGCTTACACGGCAAGCGAAATATCCACTTTGCTACAAATACCTTTGAAACGCCCCAAGTCGTAGGGTAAGTGCAAATCGGTACTCATTTTAGGTATACTGTTTTCTGTATAGGAGGCAAACGTCCTAACAAAATTTCAGCCACTGTTTTCTGGCAAGTTTTCGAGCACAGTAGCAAGTCGCAAACCTTGACGCGCTTGTAGGCGCTGCACATGCGTGCGTAGCAGCTGAATTTGAAATCTTTAGCTCGCACATACGCAGAGAATATCCCTGCAAAGTTTCAGCTTTGTGCCTTGCCTGATTCGCGAAATCGCTTCCCGCCAAAGAAGTCTGCATATTTTGGGGAGGTCCGTACGTGAGATCTAGACACGTGTGAGGGAAGATCTTAAAAAGGGAGGGTGACACAATGGGCTAGGAACATATACTCGGAATTTCAGTCTCCCAGCTTTCCTGGTTGCTGAGATGAAAGTGGGTGACAAAATGCACTTGCTTCCCAAAGCACACACACACAATCTCTCGACAATATGCGTTTTTGCTGGCTGTAGCAGCATTATAGCGCTGCGCAGAAAAAACGCATAAAAAATTGTTTATTACCATTTCGCATCCATACCATGAAGTTGCTAGCTGGTCTACCTTTGAATGAAATCTGTTTATTGCTTTCAATAAACGTTTCTTTCCTTTGATTTGGTTGGTGATTTTGCCACTAGTTCAGAAAAAATTCGAAATCTAGAACAATAAATGAGCATCTGTGTAGAAAAAGGCACTAAAATAGCTATAATTGACTTAAGCTTAACCACGAAAGTTAAAAATCTTTTCCAAAAAAATTTAAAAAATTTAAGCAAATTCAAACTTCCAAAAATCTAAAAGTTGGAAAAAAAATTCGAAAATTTATTAAAAAATTCAAGAAGCCACAATTAGTTAACTTCGGTTTGCACGCGACCTATAAAACCTTACAGAATAACATGTTTTTAATTTCAAAATTCTTCAGAAATTTGAAAAAATTCTTTTGCCATATTATATTAGCTACCCTAAGATGCGTCCGTTGTTTTGGCACATCCTAAAAGCATCTTTAACATCGAGATTCCACACCGATCGTTCGTGCGGTCTTGGTGATCTTGATAAGTTGAACTATAATGAATCTTGCTACACAGTTCTGAAACTGATTTTTATTGCGCGCTGGAAGAACTGGAAGCGGTGGAGCAAAATAATGAGAGAATTTCTCGGTATTCTATTAACCCGGGTTGGAGCGCACCAGGCTGTCCGGTGCGATCATGCGTTTTTGCACTAAACTCA